GAGGAGATGGTGTCTTCGGTTATGTAAGTCAGTCCTTCAAGTGTCTTCATCATATATGGGATGAAAATTTCAGGCTCTTTACAGGCTAAAGCAAATGGTTTCTTCAGGGAGATACCTGGAGCCATCTACATTTAGTTTTACTTCGATATTTCTTTATGATTGATAATTAGCATCTATGGGAAGCCTAATAACAAAGAGTAGGCAAGTAAGAGTTGAGAGTTACTTAAGTTTCTGTTCAGTCTCATCTTAATCTCTCTTTTTTCTTTACTTGTCTTTCCTATCTCCTTGTCTTTTTACTGAATCCCTTGTTTCCGTTTATCTTTCTCTAGTATCTCCCTTTTATTTGCTATCAATTATCTTGCAATAGTTTCTATCTAAAGTAGCTAGTCCTATGTCAGTAATGCAACAATAGAATCACATAAGATTTTTTATTTTACTTATATAGATTGGTGAAACTTAAATATGGATGCATAGATACTCTATCAAAATTGCTATATGACAGGGGGATCTTGATAGCAGATAGGCTTTTCATTTTTCCTTTAGTCTGACATGTTGCAGTTTAGTTACATGTTCAGCTATTGTGCTTACTAGGTTTGGCTTATTTGTCTGTCTCATATGCTTTGTTAAATTCCAAGTGAACCTTTTGTTTATTATGGTTATCCAAATTTAAGGAGAATGAGAATCTATTGTGTGATGCTTTTGTTTTTCCATTGATATCCACTTCCTTTTAACGCATTGTCTTTGAACATATTATTTTCTAGAAATTATTAAGTTAGTCATGATGTTTGACATTTATTATAATTTGGTTCTTAATGTTTTTTTGTTACAATCTGGACCCTGCCGTTCTTTATTTGTTTCAAATGCCGAGTAAAAAGGTAAAATGGGTAGGCCATGTTTGAATACTTCAAAAAACAAATTAGAAAACTGACTTTAACTAATTAATTAAATTAATGATTAATAAATTAATAATATTAAAAATATTTTTTATTGTTATTAGTTTATTAATCAGTCAAAATTATTTTTTGAGTTATTTTTTTAAACATCCAAAGACGACCTAATCATTTTAGCTTTTTCTGTATGGAAATGGAAGGAAATTAGACATTTGAAACAAATTAAAAATGCTAGGGATCAAATTGTAATGAAAAAAAATCACGACCAAATTGAAACAGTATCAAAGTCCGGAATTAATTTGGTCATTTGTCATTTTTTTCATCTCCTCCTCCTCCCCGGTTCACCCAATATGCAGTCAGCAGGATTTGGATCTGCAAAATTTTACCGACTCTGGGTTCGGTTTGGGTGGTGGGGGGAGGGGTGGGGAAGGTGATCTGCAATATAGTTGCTATTCCTTTATCTGGATTTACCTGCTTAAACATATTAAATTGGGAAGTCTTTTTGTGAATGGACATGTCAACTTGCTCTTATTAACTGTTCGCAAACCAATGTTATATTTTTGGTTAACTTTTTATTAGAGAGTTCTAATTGCCTTGGCATTTGGTATATATAAAAAAAAAAAAAAAATTGCCTTGGCATTTGGCTGGAGCAATGTGTGCCAGTGTTTCTGCTCATCTTCCTCTTACTGTTCTCCGTTGTTTCTTTTGAAAGCCGTTAAACTTCTAGCTTTCCCAAAGAAGAAGATTAAGCCTAGTTGAACTTGATTTGTGGTTATTTGCAGAATATGAGGTAAGAGAGAAACCGACTCTAAACACATGGATGCAAGGTGGATTGGATTACATCACATTACAGTTCTTGAATATTGATGGAATCCGCACCATCGGCAGTGTTCTTGGCCAAAGTATTGCCCTTGACTATTATGGGCGCCAGGTACTTATGATCTGATCTGAGTTACTTTCTGGATGCATAATTTGTTTCTGCTTTTCTATTCTCATGAATTTCTTTCTTCTCTTAGGTTGATGGAATGGTTGCAGAATTTACTGACATAAATCGCGGGATGGAAAAAACTGGAACTTTTACCATGGATAGGAAGAAACTCTTTCAGTTGGTAGGGAAGGCAAATTCTAATCTTGCTGATGTGATTCTTAAGCTTGGACTTTTTGAGAGGTAATAATTTCGCATCCTTACTGAGAAGGTGAATTTTATGAAATCTAATGATTTTCTTATTGCAGCATTGTGATGAGAAGACATACAATATGTTATGATCGTTACTTAAGATCTTGTAATGAGGTAGATTAACAGTATGGTTTTATTTAAAGAGAACACATCGATCTTCCTGGAGTTTAAAGTACTCAGAAAAAAGACAAATTTTTTGCATATCTTATTCATATTGTTATTTTGTTTTTATACAAGAAAACACAATTGCTACTAAAGTAATTACTTCCACTGTTGGAAGTAACCACTCCACATTCTAGAAATTACTTTTGGACTTTTCCTATTAACTAATTTGTCATCAAATAAACTAGGTAATTAGATAGCTACAATAATAACAATTTTCTTCCAGCAGCCATGTGGCAATCGAAATTCCAGCAGTTATGTGGTTCATAATAGTACACATCCCTCAAAAAGGTGCTTGAGGACTGAGTGTACTTTTAGTAGCCTGCTGCTTTGATCCTGGTTCTAGAACATTCCAATGGTAGGAAGCCCGGTGAAGAGATGCTCGTTTGACCACTCTTTGTAGTGTAGTTGATAAGAAATTTGCTGGACCACATTTAGATTCCCTTAGACCATGAAATTGCATGGGCAGTCCCCTTTTAATAAAATTGCATGCATGGGAGCAAATTTCCAACCTAGGCTTTGCAAACTAGTTATGCATGGATTTGCACTCAAATCTGTCAGCCATGGAACAATTAGACCCAGGGAAAAGAATGAATTGCCCAACTTGCCCAATCACCAAGGCAGATGTATGTAAATGCCTTTACACCCAACTCTCTCATTGCAGATTCTTTCTCCATCTTCTATCTGCAGGAGGCAAACAATGACAAAGCACCAAAATCTCAATATAGAAAATTCTTTTAAAGAACAGTCTAAGAAGCTCTCCATGTGCATTGCTTGTGAAGACTGAATCCTTATGATAGTAGGTATGGAGATTTTGGCCTCCTCTACATCACTAGGACTGGTTCTACCTCTCTTTCTTCACCATCAAATTAATCAGCCTCTTTCTCCAGCCATAATCCCTTGCTGACTATATTTAGTAGGAAAAGAAAATCCAACACTGACAAAGGAATCAGGAAGGAACGCTGATCTAAGGGAAGGCACATGGGCATACATGCATAATCTCACCATTACTGGAATTATCCCCGATTGGAAGAGGAAGCTTATGGTTATATTAGATTTAACTGATTCCTCTGGGAAATTCTCCCAGCCTGTCATATTTCCTATTACTTCATATCCTAACAAAATTATTGAAATGGTTTGTTGCGACAAGGGGACCCACTTTCCCCATTGGTGTTCATTGTTGTGATGGAAGCTTTGAATGGTTTATGGAGAGGACACAAGAAGTGCAGCTGTTTAAAGGTGTGCAGGTGGGCAAATGTGATAATTCCATTGAGGTGTCGCACTTATTTTTGCGGATGACACATTATTTTGTCAACCTGAAAAGCAATACTTAATGCACCTCAAGTGCATCCTCCTCTGCTTCCAAGGCGTTTCGGGACTCAATATTATTCTAAATAAATATGAATTAGTAAAGATTGGGAGTATGGGAGATGAAAACAGTTTGGATAGGATCCTTGGGTGCAGAACTGCGCAGCTTCCTATAAAATACTTAGGGACGCCGTTAGGGGCAAGATACAAAGATAAACAAACTTGGGAGCCGGTGGTTGAAATGTCCGAGAACCGTTTTGCGACTTGGAATACAAACTTCTTATCAAAAGGTGGAAGGTACACTCTCATCAAAACGCTAACCTTCTCATTTACTATCTTACCACTCTAACTATACCGGTCAGCATTGCAAAAAGATTGGAATCAAATCAATGTCATTTTTTATGGGGAGATGGAATTGAGAAAAGAAGGTATCACTTGGTGAGGTGGCCAGAAATTAAGAAACCTCTTAACAAGGGTGATTTGAATATTCGGTCTTTGGTGGATATGAACAGGGCTCTTTAAGGCAAGTGGCTGTGGAGATTCCTAAAGGAAGAGGGTAGATTGTGGAGAAAGGTCATAGAAGCTAAATGGTGCGGTTTTGAGTTAGCAGGGGAGGGAAGCCATGACAGTAGGGGCCATGGTTTGGCATTATGGAAGAATATCAAACAGGGCTAACCGAGATTTAAGGAGTGTATCAGCTGGAAATTGGGTAGGGGCAACTGCATCAAGTTTTGGCATGATGAGTGGCTGGAGGGGGATGTTTGAAAACCAGATTTTCTAGAAGATATGCCATTGCACAATCTAAAAATATGACAGTTGAGGAGGCGTATGTGATGGAAAATGGATGATGCTCTTGGACAGTGAATGTTTGTAGAAATCTAAATGATTGGGAGGTATTTGATTATGAAGAAATATTGAGGCTGGTCTCACAATGTCGTATAAGTGATGATGCAGACCAGGTTCAATGGAAACTGTCCAAAAAGGGTGAATTCATGGTAAAATTGTTTTATAGGCAGATGGTGGGGGCTGGGCAGGACAACACACCCCTCTTCCCTTCAATACAGATTTGGAAATCCAGAGTTCCGTCTGGAATTGCTTTCTTCGCGTGGGAGGTTAGTAGAGAAAGTATATTGACACTTGATAAGCTGAAGACTAGAGGACAGATTGTAGTTAATGGGTGTTTTATGTGTAAGAGGGCTGAAGAATCATGCTGCCACCTGCTTCTTCACAGCCAGGTTGTCTATGAACTATGGTGCCAGATTTATAGACTGCTCGGTATCAATTGGGTCGTTTCAGGCTCGGTTTTTTTATGAGATATGGGCTTGGATGGGATTGGCGTGAAAAAGAGTATTGTTAAGATCATCTCTTTAACCATTTTTTGGGTCATTTGAAAGAAATGAATAGGAGAGCTTTTGAGGATATAGAGATGGATACTAATGGACTAAGAGACTTATGGTTTAATTATTTTGGATACATTGTTTTGGGTCATGACATTATTAGAGATGAGGATTTTGGGGATGTTATTGACACCCTAACAACTTTGTAAATTTGTAAATGGGTGGTACCCCCATTAGTACTCTATTAATATATATTCACACTTTTATTTTAAGAAAAAATATTAGGGATAGATGGTTTCATACTTTTGATTTTATTTTGATTGGTCATGATATGGTGGATTGGGAAGATATTAGAACTGTCATGAACCACCTGATCGACTTGTAATTTTGTGTTTTCGGGTGGTATCCCTTTGATATCTTTGTGCATAATAATACTATTTCTCGGGGTCAAGGGCACCAATCTGCTTGTGCTCTTCCATGAGATCGCACCCTCATTAGCAGCTTTCATCTCCAACCACAATTGAGCATCACTGTCTGTCCGTGTCTGTGCTTGTTCTATTTTCCTCTATCATTGCTTTTAATATCAACGTCTCCTCAGTTTTCTAAATGATTTGCGGGCTGCCATTCTCATCTTCCCCTATGAACTCTACCTTCTCTGCTCTTTTTGAAATTTGGACTGATGTTTGAGGAATTGCTCCCCAGATTTTGTTGTTAATGGTTGTTGTTTTGCTCTAGCTTGCTCCTGCTCAAGACATTCCTCTTTCAAATCCTCTCTGGTGCCACTAGAAAATTTTCTCAACTTTTTAGTACGCTGCAGAGTTCATAGATCATCCATAATAGTAGGCTCTCATACCAAATGGTATGGTCCTTAGGATCTTGCTATGGGATAGATTAATAGTGGGGACTTACTGGGAGAGAACCCAATATTCACTTAAAAGTCTAAATAGATTAATAGTGTGGACTTGCTAAGAGAGAACCCAATATTCACTTAAACGTTTAAAGCACTAAAGAGATTTTTTGATGGATTTTTTGAATAGTGTGGACGACTTAAGAGAGAACCCAATATTCACTTAAAGTTTAAAGTACTAAAGATATTTCTTGATAGATTTTCTGTATATCTGTTTCAAACTGGTATTCTATTTTTGTACAAGAAAACATAACTGCTCATAAGAACAATAAGCTTCTGTAGTTATAAATAACTATCCCACATCCTAGTAACACTTTTCATAATATCTAATTATATTAATAAATAAAGTAGATAACTAAATAGAACAGTAACATCTTTCTTCTAGCAGCCATGTCTCAATCGTTTCGTCACCTCATCAGCCATGTTTCATTCACTCCAGTAGCCATGTGGCTCAGAACATGATAACACGGTCATATATTTTCTCATGTACTAGTCCCAACTCTTTATTGATGTTGTATGAGCTTCTAATAGAATAGAGATGTTCCTGAGCATATTCGCTTGATTTGATGGAAATTGGTGGTGCAGTCTCTGATACAAAAATTACTTTTTTAATAGGAGTTATTAATCTCAGAAAAGTACCTAGATATTGACATGGTTATTTCAGCTATTTAACCGAATTCATTGTTCTAAGTTCTTCAACTAATTCTCTCCTTCTCTCTCTCCCCCCTCTCAGATAGTTGTTTCAGGTTCAAGTATCTGATCTTATCTAACCAAAGTTATGTTTTGCAGATCAGATATTGCCTGGAAAGATGCCAAATACGCACAGATATGGGAGTACCTTAGAGATGAATTTGAATTGACACAGAGGTTTGCAAGCCTTGATTTTAAATTGAAGTTTGTAGAGGTACAATTTCTCAATTTTATTGGAATTACCTCTCTTTTCCTTTCTAATTATTTCAAGAATAAATGACCTCCCAAACTAATGAATGTGTCTTTTTTGATTGCAGCACAACATTCGATTTCTTCAGGAGATTCTTCAAAATAGGAAATCAGATTTTCTGGAGTGGCTCATCATTATACTAATCAGTGCTGAAATTGCCATCTCGCTCTATGACCTTATCCAAAGGTCTTTGTAACCCGCTTACACCAACTTTTGAAATCTGTATATTTTTATAGTGAAACCAGTGTATGAGTCATATAATTAATGCTAGTCAATTTTCCTTGTAAATAATTTCAGATCATCTTATGATTGGAATAGGATCACCCGCTCCTAACATTGTATGGTTATCTTGTTTATTCTTTTACTTCTTGAGTCAACGATGTCAAAAGCTGGCTATGCATGCATGCAATATCAAATATCAACAGAATGCGTACATCTTTTTTCGTAAGGTTAAATTAAAGTTTAATATCGTAAAATCATTTTATAGAAGTTTATTGATATCATCTAGTTATAAAACAATTTGATTTCGATTGTTGCATAATTTCTGTATTTATTGCAACAAAAGATTGATTTTTTTATTATCTGAAAAAAGATTCGTATTAATAATTATGATTTTAGATAGATAAATTTTTTATTTTCTTAAAATAGTATCTGAAAATCGAATAGAGTGAATTTTCACAAAAAATATTAATTTATTATTTATTATATATGTTTGTTATATAATATTTAAAAAAATAAGCAAAAAAATTTTGTATATCAATAAAGAAAATAAGAATGTGGATGGAAAACAAAATAAGAATTCTCTACAATGATACTAAAAACCAATTGAAAGGAATGTAGTGCAACTTGGTAGCGCATCTGCCTAAGTAAAAAAGAAATATTTTTTTTTAAAAAATATTATTTTACATTCATAAATCTGAATTATAAATATCTAACTTATTAATATCTAAATCGAGTTATAAGTATCTAACATATTAATATATATTTGCAAACTTTAATAAAACAAAGATAAACCTCATTTCTCTCATCTCTAATATATTCATCATATTCACCTATTCAATATCTAACATACTCATATTGGGTTTGAAAACTTTATAAAATAGAGATATAATTTTTAGATGCATAGACCCACATTATATAAAATGACATTCTAACAAATTTTAAAGGCTAATCAACAAAACTTATTTTTCTCAATCTCTAACATTTACCAATCGAATCACATATGTCTAACAACATTTAGATCTGTTTATAAATTTTTATAAAATAGAGATATAATTTTTAAATGCATAAACATTTCACAACAGAAATATCTTAAAAACATCCACATTACATAAAATGATGTTCGGTCTCTGCAGGATTCTAAACTTCCCAGCGATGGAAATTCAAAGAAATTATTCCACCAAAATAATTAACTAGAAAACTCCAATTCATTAGCAAATAATAATATCATTTATTGAATTTAAAATTAAATTAAAATTTTAAAGAGGCGATGGTGCTGGCTATTGAGAAAGTGCAGTAGAAGCCAAAGATGGCGGCTTGAAAGTTTTACGCACAAATTTTCTGGCCCAAACATGCTTCCCATTGATGGAGAACTTCCTCTTTGGCGCTCCCTGAAGTACATCATCCATTCTCGCTGCAGATTCCAGCACCAGTCTCGCATACAGCGGCTGCGTCTCATCATCCACCTCTTGCATGACAATTGTCTCTATGCACTCCGCAAAATTCCTTCATTTCATTTTCACCCAATTAGTAAGTGATAAAATCATTTTACTTTATGTAAACAAACGCATAAAGATGATTAGAGAAGAGTTACCGGGTGAAGAATTCTCTAACTTCCTCTTCTGAAGTAGGGTATCCTTTCGAGAATGTTAAGAAAACAGTTCGTTCATCCTGTGGCAACTCTTCTTGGTCTTCATCATCATTTACCTTCATTTTTATCCGATTCAACATATCTCCAATCTCCTCATTAACTAGCTCTTTCATGGCTTCAAGCTCATAAGCTTTCAAACTCATATCGCCATTTCCTCTCAAGAGTTGATCATGTGGAACACCACTGCCGTTCATCATCATATTCATCCCCATATAATTATTATTAAACCCATATAACCCATTAATGTTGCTCTGATGATGTTGACCATAGTGGCCAAACTGAACTGGTGGAAACATCGGACTCATAACAGGACCGTAGTAAGGATTCAGTTGATTCTTCATCATCATCTTCATGTGGTCGGCTTCATTATGATGATGATACTGGTACATCGTCAAAGGCGACGTTTTGAGAACTATGTCTCTGAATGCTCTCACGCAAACCTCGTTCAAGTTTCTTGTGACCCCCCGAAGTACGGCGAATCGATTGTCGTGCAAGAACTTCAGAGAAAGTCCTGGTTTTGTCGTCATGGACTGGATCAGCGGGATACCTTCATCCTTCACGTTGTTATTATTGCTGTTTTTCATGGCGAACGAAACGTAGTTTTCGTTCTCGATGCAGTTTAAGATTAGAACAGCTTCGTCGGCTATGGAGTTGAGCAGCGTGTCGGGTATTGGCACCAGGTTGGCCACCAGGTTTCGAGCCTTGCCAGCCTGCTCGAGCCAGATGAATAGAGCCACGATCTGCATGGCTTGGCCCTGCTCACGCCCCAGACCGAGGATTAGCCTCATGAAGAGCTGACGGTCAATGTTGTGGAACATGTTGAACTCCTGCTGTGTTATAGAGATTGAGGATGAAGTTGGGGTGGTGGAGGAGGAGGAACCGGCGGCCATGGTTTTTGGAGAGAAGTAATATTTGATGAAATGGTGTGATGGGTTTGTTTATAGAGGTGAGGAGGTTTCATTTTAGGTTGTAACTTTTGGCAATGAAGTAAGTGTTGTTTCGAAGAGACACCATTTTTGTTACACTGATTGCAGAAATGGAAGTTATTGCTGGAGTTTCTGTGTTAAGCTCGGGGAAGATAACGGTCTTACATGTTTTTTCTCTGTTTGACTTTTTGACTATTCAGGACGGTACAGTTATGATTGGGTGAGGACATTTGTTTTTCTTTTTAATATTTTGACTGTGCTGATTTGGCTATGTTTTATTGGTAGAGTAAAATGGCAGTCCACCACGCTAGTAGTTGTACTACTAAATGTATCATAATTTAAATTAGATTTCTTTTTTGGAGATATCGGATCATGATACCTTTGGTTACTTAGTTAATTATTTCTAAGAAATAATAAATAAGTTGTTCCATCTTGATCTAACATAAAATTGGAAAAAAAATAAAAATAAAAATAAAAACATCATATATATATATATTTTATATTCACTTAACTACATGTTGAATTCCTATATATTTTTATGTTCTTCCTTTTCTTACTTAATTGCTTTTATTTTTATTTTTTTAACATAATCTTATATTAATGTTATCTGTTTTTTTTTATCTAATATTCACATTATGACCAATTTAAGAAATATATTTATAAAAAAATTCGGTTATTTTTTTTAAAAAAATTGAACTAATCATAATTATAATTCCGACTTTGTTGAAAATTTAATTGTATATTCATAAATTAAAACGGAAATAAATTTAGCTACAATAACAGGATAAAAATTTTTATGTTCTTATGCTTCATAATTACTTAATTATTCTTTCTTTATTATTTTTTAATATAATTACATATTTATGTTATCTACTTTTTTGTGTGATATTCGTATTATGACCAATTTAAGAAATATATTTATAAAAAAGCTCGATCATTTTTTTTTTAAAAAATTGAGCTATAATCGTGATTATAACTCAGATTTTGTTGAAAATTTAATAAGTACGTATATTTATAAATTAAAACAGAAAAAAAATTAGTTACAATAGATAAGAATCATAGGATAAAGATTTTTATGTTCTTATGCTTCATAGTTATTTAATTATTTTTTTTTTCAATTATTTTTTAACATAATCATATATTTATGTTATCTATATTTTTATCTAATATTCGCGTCATGACTGATTTAAGAAATATATTTATAAAAACACTTAATTATTTTTTTAAAGAAAATTGAGCCAATCATAATTATAACTCTACCGTTGTTGAAAATTTAACAAATATGTATATTTATAAATTAAAGCGGAAACAAATTTAGCTGCAATAGATAAAAATAGAGATTTGTATGTTCTTCCGCTTCATAATTACTTAATTGTTCTTCTTTTTTTTATTTTTTAACATAATCGAATATTTTTTATATCTATTTTTATTTAATATTCTCATCATTACCTATTTAAAAAATATTTATAAAAAGGTTTGCTTATTATTTTTAAAGAAAATTGAGTTAATTATAACTATAACTTGAACTTTGTTAAAAATTTAATATGTGTGTATGTTCATAAATTAAAATAAAAATAAATTTAGCTGCAATAGATAAAGATCATAGGATAGAAATTGTTATGTAATTTTGCTTCATAGTTACTTAATTGTTCTTCTTTTTTTTTTAATATAATCATATATTTTTGTTATATGCTTTTTATTTAATATTCGCATCATGATCAATTTAAAAAACATATTTATAAAAAGGCTTAGTTATTATTTTTTTTAAAAAATTGAACTAATCATAATTGTAACTCGAATTTTGTTAAAAATTTAACATATATGTATGTTTGTAAATTAAAACATAAATAGATTTAGCTGTAATAAATAAGAAGAATATGATATAGTGCAAGGAATCATTCTTTTTTCTTCTCTCGATCTAGATCTACTAGGATTTGTGAAGCAAGTACAAGATGTGAAAAGAAAATTGAGGAACACACAAAGGAAAAACGAAGTGTAGCAGCAACGAGAGAGAAACCTAAGATTGTAAGAATGAAAAATAAAGACAAAATATTTCTACATCCCCCAAAATATTGGTGTACCAACACTATAAATACACTTTAGGAAAATCATTATTAACCTAACACACCTATACATACATATATACAAATGCAC